GGACTTCTGAGACATGTTTTTCATTCCCCCGCCCATGCTAAACATTGCCATGCTGTTTTATTCTGACAGCTGGTGTGCACGGTTGACAACATATCCAAACAGTGACTGCATACAATTGGTTGCAGTCACTGTTCAGCCAACCTGGCTCCATTTAAAAAAAAAAAAGAAGAAGAAGTTTAGCTGGGTGGTTCCAGCAGGGAAACCCATGGATCCAAGTTCAGCCAATTCAGCGGGAAATGGGTAAAATATAATCCAGCCAAACTCTCTTCCTCATTTCCCAATAATTATGTTATCCTAAGACCTAGGAAATAGGTCAGTCACTCAGAAAGTACTTCAGCCAGTAGATGGGGGGCAGGCAACCTCAGCATTCCAGCTGTGATGAAGCTACAAACAAAGATATGAGTGGTCAGCACCTGTCAGCACCACCCGGCTCAAACAAAAGTAGATTTCAAAATCCAAATTGTTGGCCGCACAGGGACTGCTGCCTACCAGATGCAGTCAATGTTCGGCTGTTCTAACAGTCACTGGTGCTGCGGCTGTCTGAATGCAATAGCCAGCAGTGGAGATTCCTCCAACCACACTGAGAACTCTAACCCTGTGTTGCTAGCCTTAGACTAAAGGGGAGAATACCCCCATATGTACCTAAACCAGGAGTAGGAAAACTCTAGCCGTCCAACTGTGGTGAAACTACAAACCCCATCATGCATCTGCCGCTGGAAGTCATGCCATGCCTCATGGGATTTGTAATTGCACCACAGCTGAAGTGCCAAGTTTGCCTACCCATTACCCAAACTAGCCTATACACCAGGAGTAGGCAAACTTTGGCCCTCCAGCTGTGAGGAAACTACAAATCCCATGAGGCATTGCAAGGCTCTGATAGCCACAGGCATGACTCCCAGAGAAAGGATGCAGGGCCGAAGTTTGCCTACCCCTGCTATACACGCTCTTAATTCAGCACCGTCCCTGCATCTGCCTTCATCATAGAAAATATTTTACCTCCTGTTGCCAGAAGGTCATCAATAATCACAACTTTCTGTCCGGGATCCACAGCATCCGACTGAATCTCAAGCTCTGCCTGAAGAAACATGTTCAACAAGTTATTGCCGGCTGTGTACGTGAAAGAGAAAACACAGTGCGGTTTTTATAAGATCAAACATAAATAAAAACTTTAGCCCCAGCTCCTAATATGGATGGATTAAACCCATCTCAGACTAAGCCGATACTGCAAGGGATGGCTGTTATTTGACTTCAAGTGCCACGAGACTGCAGGCTGCTGACAAAGGCGGGCACATGAGCAGGGGGCTTCTAGGATCACCTGCCCACAGGAACTCTTCAGTAGGTTATGAATAGGGATTCACCGATACCCGTTTTTCGGTATTGAGTACCAATATTTTTTTTCCGGTACTCGCCGATACCGAATACAGATACCGGAAGTCCCATTAAGGAAGCCAGGCGGCGTGTGATGAATCGCCACCGGGCTTCCCGATTACCAGGGAAGCCGTCTCCATGCTTCTCGTCACTACACGACGAGAAAGCATGGGGCCGGCTTTCTGGCCAAGCATGGAGCTGGCTTCCTGATTGGCCAGGAAGTCGGCTCCATGCTCCCACGAGGTGATGAGGGAACATGAAGCCGGCTTCCTGGCCAATCAGAGAGCCGGGTGTCGTGTCATTACAAAGCGCCCGGCTTCCTGATTGGCCAGCTTCCTCACCAATCAGGAAACCGGGCAGCGAGTCATTACACGCTGCCTGGCTTCCCGATTGGCTGGGAAGCCGGCTCCATGCTTTCTCGTCACAAGTGACCAGGGAGCATGGAGCCGGCTTCCCGGCCAATCAGGAAACCAGGCAGCGTGTAATGACTCGCTGCCCGGCTTCCTGATACCGGAAGTATCGGGCTAGGCATCAGAGCATTTGGGCGAGTGTGAATACTAGCCCAAATACTCGGCACCGATACCGATACTCGTATCGGTGTATCCCGAATTATGAAGGATATTTTTATTAGGATGACCACACAAACTGATTTAATGAATATTCTAGAAAAGTTCATCCCACTGAATGTTGATGAACTGTCTGTGCAAAGACAGAAATTGGAGATATTCTCCATCAAAGACTGTTTAAAGTCTGGCATGATAATCTAAAAGATACCTGCTAACCATCGATGTGTTAGAGACCAGAAGCAGGAATACCCCCAGCACCATAAAACCTACATTGAAAGGCCAGAAATAAATCTGCTGTTCAATTGGCATCGCTTTATCTCAGAATTTTCACCGACTTTTCTCAGCGCACATTGCCAGTTACTTGGACATGGCTGTGCTACACGCACCCTCCCATTCGTCTTAAAGCAGAGCTCCGGGAATATATATATTTTTTCAACCCGAAGGCCCCGTTCACACTGAGCGATTTATCGCACGGCAATTCCCGCGATATCGCGGCTATTTACCGCGCGATATCGCTCTCCAATGCATCTCAATGGGGCTCTGACCGTCGCTGTCGCTACAGCAGGACCCTTTTTGGAGCGGATTTTGCCGCGATTCTAGGTTGCTCAATGCAAGCATTTGCGCGAAATCGCGAGACAAACGAGCGATATCGCGCAAAATGCAAATGGCGCGATTTGCGAATCGCCCAATGTGAATGGGGCCTTACAGTGGGGCTACCCTCGCACTGCAAGGGTTAACGGCTTATTTAAGTCTAGCTTCAAAAATAAAGTTATACTCATCCAGTCCTCCAAGCCGGCTTGCTCTTAGACCGGTCCCTGGAGCCTCTCTCGCCCTCCGCTGCAGCATTCTAAGGATCCTCAAGTCATCACATTCTATACACAGTGTATAGGACAAGGGACATGCCATCGCTGCAGCAGAAAAGACAAATTGGAGGGAGCGCTGTCACAGCCGGCTGGCCCGGAGGATCAGGTGAGTATCTCTTTGTTATTTTTGAACCAAGACACTGCAAGGGTTAATAAAAATCTGCTTTAAATGGATACATAGTGTTTACGCACCTTCCCGTATTCCAGGGAGTAAGACAAGGACTCTGTTGGACCCGGCAATTTTCCCTTTTTCCGAATTAACACAAAGCCAATTTCCAATCTCTGTGCCAAGACTGGGCCAAACAGAAAGCCACGGGAGTCTAGGCCTGAAAGGAAAAAAAAAGTGGTGACAGGTACTCAATTTCTGCCTGCTACATACCAAAATCCTCATCTAAACATGTTCACCTTATGCCATCAGCAAATGTGTTACCGTCATGTTAATATGTACATAATTGTATGAGCGCAAAGAGTCCACAGTTCATTTTCCTCTTTAAATCCTCCTAAAGCAGAACTCTGGGTAAACATGTTATTAACCCTTACATTGGGGCTAACACTGCAAGGGTTAAGTACTCCTTTTAGCCTAGGTGCTCAAAAAAAAAAGTAATAGCCACCCAATCCTCAGAGCCGGCATGGTCTTGGTCTCTCCCCCTTCTCTGCAGCGGTCCAAGGATCCTTGAGTCATCGCGTTCTATACACAGTGCACAGGAAGTGAGGACCCCGAGGGACATACCATCGCTGTAGCAGGATGACTAGACCGGCTTCACTGGCTGGAGTAGCGGCCATAGTACAACTTTTTTTTTTTTTAGCACCCAGACAAAAATGAGCATTTAACCCTTGCCGTGCGGGGATAGCCCCATTGTAAGGGTTAAGAACATTTTTGCCCTCAGTTCTGTTTTAAAGGGGAAGTGAAGTCTTTTTCTCTAAAGAAAATTGCCAACCAGCAGGCTTCCTCAGACAGAAGGGATTGTGAAGGTCTCTTCTGTCCTAGAAACTTGTACTTGCCTGTCAGCAATGACTGAGCTGCACGTGCACAGGCTCGGCAGGATCCTTGCCGAGATAAAGTAACGTAGGCGCAGAAGTTACGTCATCGGGGTCTGGCCAATCAAGCGGCTGAAGCCTCGGAACTCGGAAGAAGACTAGGGGTGAAGATGGGAATGCAGGATAGGGAGGAGTGTGCGGACATGGCACTGCCGGAGGGGGTCATTTTGGCATACAAGACTGCCATAATGTACTAAAATGCTGTGATACTAATTCTCCTGGGCTCCCCCCTCTATATTTTTTTTTAAAGTCTGTTTTCCTTCAATTTTAAGTCTCAGAGCATTTTTTTTTCCCTATTAAGGCGATGCCTTGGTTCCTCATGTTTTTATAATCTACCCTAATTTTCTACCAAACTAAAGCCCTATCAGTTCCAAAGAAAATTATATGTTTTCCCATTTTTTTCTGTGGAACCAACAGAGCTTTAATTTGGTAGCAAATTTTCATTTTATTGGGAATCAATAGTAAAAAAAAATAAAAAATAGAACCATTTCCTGTAATTTTCCCCATCGCAATATTTACATAATTATTCCCCTTTGGAGGCTACATTGCTTTATTTCCCTTTGGAGGCTACTTGCTTTATTCCCCTTTGGAGGCTACATTGCTTTATTCCCCTTTGGAGGCTACATTGCTTTATTCCCCTTTGGAGGCTACATTGCTTTATTTCCCTTTGGAGGCTACATTGCTTTATTCCCCTTTGGAGACTACAATGCTTTATTCCCCTTTGGACGCTATCCCACCATATATGAACCATTGTGCCCCTTGCCGTTTTACAACGCCACCAAAGATCAGAGCATTGTGAATACATTTTCTTTAAGCTAGCTGTCCTGTAAAAAGATTGGGGAATGTTAACTTACCTTGTAAAGGTCAAGCTTGGCCCCCGACCAATATGAAGACTACAGTGGGCAGGGTCACAAACACAACTCATATACAATGCTTGGCCAAGAAAAATTCACACACTCTAATATTTTGTTGGGCCGCCTTTAGCTTTATACGTTAGGCATTCGCCGTGGCATCATTTCCATAAGTTTATACAATGCCACATTTATCTCCATCCATTGCAATCATTGTTCACCACGATCTTGTAGTGATGATGGGAGAGTCAGATCACTGTAACGCCTTCTCCAGCACATCCCAAAGATTCTCAATGAGGTTCAGGTCTGGGCTCTGTGGTGACCAATCCATGTGTGACAATGATGCCTCATGCTCCCTGAACCACTCTTCCACAATCTGAGCCCGATGAATCCTGGCATTGTCATCTTGGAATATGCCATCAAGGAATGAAAAAATCCATTAATGGAAAAACCTCATTCGGTATATTCAGGTAGACCTCTGACCTCATTTTTGGGGGGGACATAACGTTGCTGAACCTAGACCAGTGGTTCTCAACCTGTGGGTCGCGACCCACAGTTGAGGGGGTCCCTAGATGCCTTGTGTTGCTCTAGGGAAGAGGCACCTCAGCCTCCTCCTAGCGCAGCCTTGTCAGTTCTCCTAGATGGCGCTGCAGCAGCAGTGGTCAGAGAGGATCAGAGAGAGGGGAGCAGGCAGGAGTGAGGGGAGGTGAGTACTTGATCAACACATAGCCCGCACTGGACGCCAACAGAGAGTCCCACTAGCCACCTGAGAGCCCGCATAGCCTCCAGAGAGCCCACACAGATACTAGTATTGGTGCATCCCTACATTTTACGGTTGAGGGTCACCACAACTTGGCAAATGTTACCAAGGGGTCCCGGCTCTAGAAAGGTTGAGAACCACTGACCCAGACCTATTATCCAATGGAAGGCTTTCACCTACCTGCTTAGCTAAATCCAGGGGCAACTTTTTTTTGGCCAGGCAGTGTGTTCTGTACACAACCCAAAAACCTTCCAGGTCTCTTACCAGCAATGACATCCACTTTGGCGAAGTTCTTCCTTACATAGCTCTCAAACAGGTCGATGGAGGCGGTGAAAGCGGCGGGGTTCTTGAGGACCGGCGTGATATCTCTGCCATAAAACACAAGCGATAGAATAATCCTGATAAAGAGTTACACTTCACTGCCCGTGTATTTCTATTTCCTATTTCATTCTGCAGTCTCCTCATTTCTAGGAAAGACGAATGAGTGCGAACAGCTTATTCACATCTCTGAGCCCAACATGCAGCCTGATGTGCTCCAGACCTTAGATCCGCTGCCAGCATCACTGGCAGGCTTTAGCTCTGGAACCAACAGCTGCCAATAACACATACCGCCTGGCACCAAGTCCACAAGCTAGTTATTTGTGAGAGACCTGATTGGCTCAGAGATGCTTTGCCCCTGAACAGCCCTGGGAGAGTTCACTCACATTAACTTGCCCTTTGGAGCCACCCATTCATTTCAAAGGGCTGCCAATGCACCACTTGCCTTGTGTTGTACTGCAACAAAGATGCTTTGTGAAGCCATTAAAAATTAACAGCATTGCAATAAAGCCGGTAAGGTGTGTTAGGGCAATGCAAAGGTCACTAACGCACTATCACACAGGAGCACATCAGCATCCTTTAGGCCTGGGGTGGGGAACCTCCTGCCCTCCAGCTGTGGTGAAACTACAAAACCCATGAGGCACTGCAAGATTCTCACAGCCATTGGCATGCCTCCAGAGACAGATGCATCATGTGATTTGTAGTCTCACCTCAGCTTTAGGGCCGGAGGTTCCCCACCACTGCTGCACAGGCACCCATTACCCTGTATGGAGGTTAGAGCTGCCCTATACATGGAGGCTACAGACATTGCAGGCAGAGGATGACCTGGACTCTATAGGGGGGTGGGGGGGGGACAGCACAGACACCCATTACCTTGTATGGAGTTCTGAGCTGCCCTGTGCACGAAGGCTGCAGGCAGCTGTAGGGCCAGAGGTTCCCCACCCCTGCTAGGCAGTGACGCACACAGTACATGCACTCGGGATGCACATATCTAAATAAATGGCAATCATGCTGCGTCAGGAGACATGAAGCATGTCAGTGTTTATGTCAATTCCTGTGTGTTGTCAGCCTACTGAAAATGATCAGACTGCCTGTAAATCCAGCCCTGAGCTATGCAATAGCAGAATGCACAGGAACCCAGGACAGCCATATCGTTCCAATCGTGTGTCCTGTGTCCTGTGTGGAGGTCAGAGCTGCCCTGTACATGGAGGCTGCAGACATTGCAGGCAGAGGATGACCTGGACTCCATAGGGGGGATGGGCACAGCACAGGCACCCATTACCCTGTATAGAGGTCAGTGCTGCCCTATACATGGAGGCTGCAGACATTGCAGGCAGAGGATGACCTGGACTCCATAGGGGGGATGGGCACAGCACAGGCACCCATTACCCTGTATAGAGGTCAGTGCTGCCCTATACATGGAGGCTGCAGACATTGCAGGCAGAGGATGACCTGGACTCCATAGGGGGGATGGGCACAGCACAGGCACCCATTACCCTGTATAGAGGTCAGTGCTGCCCTATACATGGAGGCTGCAGACATTGCAGGCAGAGGATGACCTGGACTCCATAGGGGGGATGGGCACAGCACAGGCACCCATTACCCTGTATAGAGGTCAGTGCTGCCCTATACATGGAGGCTGCAGACATTGCAGGCAGAGGATGACCTCCTGGACTCTATAGGGGGGGACACAGCACAGACACCCATTACCTTATATGGGGGTCTGAGCTGCCCTGTGCATGAAGGCTGCAGGCAGAGGATGAACTGGACTCTATTGGCGGGGGAGGGGACAGCACAGACACCCATGGGTCCCACCCCCACTCACCTGAACAGCACCCCGGGGGAAGGGAAGTCAGGAAATTCCCGCACCGATCGGTACAGCACCGCCCGCTTCTCCTCCTCACTCATCATGGTGACTGACAGCTAGATACCAACCACGTGAAAGACTCGGAAGTAATATCAGAGTGATTAGGAAGTGGGCGGAGCTTACACGGTGTATACAGTAATCCCGGGAAAATTCAGATGCTGTAGGACACACGAGCTAGCCACGCCCACCAAAGAGAAAGTCACGTGCCCAGAATACTCGCTTGCTTGTCTCTCATCTCCATTGAGCTACGTCTGGAGCTCCATCTAATTCCATGTCAGCCGGATGACTCCGCCGGGTCCCAGGCGTCACAATGACTCTGCTCATCACACAGAAAGTGCCATTAGAGAACAACTGCGGGGGTGCCTGACTGTCATGTCCATCCTGAGGCTTCCACAGGTTCCGAATCGCCGAAGTGCAACGAATAGAAGTCACAGCTGCTCATTTTCATACTTGTTCCAGCTCAGTGGGCTCAAGAAGTGAGGAATCAGCAAGACAGACATGACATTTTGAGATGGTCACCCAGCACTAGCTTTGTATTTTTCCCATGGGAGGCCTCAGATGTGGCCCCTGATATCACCAAAGGGCCACATATAATATACCTACTAGAGGAAATGGTCAGAGACTGTTCCACAGGGGTGGTTGGAGACTGGTGTCATGCTATAGGAGACAGTCAGAGATTAAGGACACTTTACACAAGACTGCTAGAGATCACAGACATTACAATGCTCCCACTACTGACTGCTGGGGTCCAAGGGCCACACTGCAAACACAAAAGGGCCACAGGTGGGACTAACACTTCACTTCAGTGGTTGAAGCATTAAATTATTCTGTTATGGGGTCCAATATCTCTGACAGATGTGAATCTAATCCTCACCAGCCCCTGAGCTGCATACCAGTCCCAGGACAGTCCCTTGTAGTGGAGATCGGCTACAGCGGCTTCTACCACAGACATTGGACCTGACAACACTCGCGGTCATGGATTCCATACAATACAGGAGGCTACAAGGGGCTTCACAGCCCGGGAACAAGTGCCAGTTCCAGATGTCTGGCTCTAGAAGCCTCCGGTGCTATACCGCAGATTTCCCTGTGACAGGTAAAAGCGATCAGCGCAGGTTCCCCTTTAAATAAAGTCAGTGCATACAAAGCACCATACATTCTCTTGGTCTGAGCAGGTCCTCATTCATCCAGATCCTCATTCCAGGTCCTCATTCCTCCAGGTACAATAATACTTGGGAGTCCAACTTTAAGTATACATAATTATTTCTCATTTATCCCACGTGCAGCCAGCATGTGACACACTAGTGGATGCTGACTGGAGGTTCTGCTGTGATCTACTACTGTGCTGTAAAGAGTTTAAATAGCCAATGTAAATTGATCTCCTGCTAGTAAAATATACTCTTCCAAATACTCAGAGTCGATTGTATATAGAGCTGGCTCTATATACAGAGAGCTGAGCGATCATGTGACCAGTGCTAACGATCCTCTCCCTGCACAGAGGGGTGACTGGGGCGGGTACAGATGCCTCTGGCTCTAGAGAGGAGGAGCCAGCTGTCAATCAAGAAGCGGGGCGGATATTGTCAATATTGTCAGGATCCTTCCTGGCTGCAGCATCGTTCTGCGCTGTCAGCATATAGCAGGCAGTAGCTCACTAGATGATGACTTTGGGTCCCAGGAGTACATTGGTAAATGTTCTCCTGTGACTAGTAAGAGAAATAACTAAATACTAGACGAATGGAGATCAGAACACAGCTACACAACGGACTACATGTGTGAAAGACTTTACATTTTAATCAGTTCATACAAAAAAAAAAAGTCCCATACATCAAGCAGCCGCTACTTGGGGTGCAGTACTCATCAGTGGGGGGCTCCCTGAGTTTGTCATGGGGAGAAGGGTTGCACTTCTAATCATAGAAAAGGCCGGTGTGTTCCTTCTCATCATTCATGGACTTCCATCCAGCACATGTTTACAAAGGTTCGGGAGTCCATTTTATCAATGTAGAGGACTCCATCTAAGTGATCCATCTCGTGCTGAACGATGCGGGCTGTCCAGCCTTGCGTCTTCCAGCTAGTCTGCTCCCCCTTTTCATTCAGCCCTAGGAAAGGCAAAATGATAGAAATAAGCTGCATTATGTCAAGTCAAGCGGGATACATTATGGAGAGTAAATGAGTAAAGGTAATCCTCAAATTACGCCAGGGTTAGGTTCCAGAAGGAATGGTTGCAAATAGAAACCAATGTCATTTGAAACCCAGTATATAATGCAAGTCATTGGGAAGTGAAGGTTCCAGGCCTCTCAAAAATGACATAGGTGACATAATACACTATATTTAAAGCTTTGAAATGAATGTTATGAATGCTCCAAGGGTACCCCTGTGTGTGCTTCCATATCTCTAAATGAACCTCTGCATGCCATATCTCCAAGTGCACCCCTATGTTCCTCCATATCTCCAAGTGTACCCCTGTGTATCTCCAAGTGTAACCCTATGCTCTTCTGTAGCTCCAAGTGTACCCCTGTGCCTCCAGCCTGTCTCTAAGTGGCTGCGTATATCTCCGTGTGTATCCCTGTGCCACCAGCGCATCTCCATGTGTGCACCACCACACCTCTAAGTGTCCCACTGTAGGTGTCCAGTTTTTTGATTGAGCCGTGATTCTCCATCTATGACTTGATCTAGCTGCCAGAGACTGCACAGTACTGTACATACTGTTGTATTCCAGCCATTTGCAGCTGTATAGTGTTCCCCTGCATACCCTTAAGGATACACTAGGTGGCGCTGCTGTTACAATGGCGGTCACGTGACTGGCTGACAAGGGCGCTATTTTGAAACGGCCCAAACCGAGGGCTACCTGTATTGGCTAAAGGGGGAAACCCGCCGCACAGCTAAAACCCATACTAAGAAAATATGTTTGTAGTAGCCTGGAGAAGAATTAGAACCTCTGTTATTTTTTTTGTATGCTCTTGATGTCCACTAGGGAGATTCCCCCTCCAGGTAGATCACAGGTGTCAGAAGAAAAACAGAAAGTGGGGGGAATCTCCCTAAAGCGGGGACGCAGACCGCATTAAAAACGTGATGGAGTTTCTAACCTTTCCCCTTTAAAACTAGAAGTTTAGGCTGGAGTTGGGCTTCCAGTCTGCCAACAACGAATCAGATTCCTCTGTTACAGGATGTTACCAATAAAGGAGGAGTATAATTGGGTGCTGGGAAACAACACAGACAGGCAAAGCTTCCCTCAAACCTTTGATATAAGTGGCCACAGTTGAATGGAGGTGACTTACCCGATACCTCCACAGAGTAGCACCGTGGTACCACAGCGGAGAAGCCTTGCACACTACTGCAGCCCTCCGGGAAGCTAAGCTTTCTAGACTCCAGGATGCGCATGGTCGGGTTTATAAAAATCTTCAGAGGGAACGGCTCCATTTCTCGAAATGTCCGCACATCTGGAGGCACCATCTGGCATAGATGTTCTGGGAGTTCCAGCATCATAACGCGGAGAGGAACCCCGAGCTGGGGGGCGCTCAGTCCCACGCAGCCACAGGATCTCATAATCTGCGTCATCCTCTTCAGCAAGGCCTGTGTTTCAGGGTGGGGAATACGTTCGGGAGGAACAGACTCAGCCTGGCCACGCAAGATTGGATTTCCGGTCTGCACCACTTTCTTGTACGGCGGGGCAGGGGCACCCAGTATGGACCTTTTTAGATACTTCCAGTAATTGCGCTTCTTGACTCCAGTCCATGAGGAGCACAGGCGAGAAGACTGCAGACCACTGAGGACCACACTGTGTGAGTAGTGGGATATGAGAAGACCAAAAACCCTGCAGGCTTTGTTCACCAACATGACTTGGAAACCTAGAGATACAATACAGCTGTTGAAGAACTCCATTTACAATATGAATAAAGCTCATTCTATTAATTGTCAGGGCCACAAGCATAGGGGTTGATTTATAAACTATTTGCAGAGTTGTCTGTCCTGCAAATATCTGTGAACGGTCGTTCTGTACGAACATATACACAAAAGGACGTTCTTTAGTTTTCTTTAGAGGTGCACCGAAATGGAAATCTCAGAAACGAAACCGAAATTAAAAAAATTGTCAGGCCAAAACCGAAAATGTTCATTTTTTTAAATCTTTAATTTATTTTATAAACTTTTTTTTATATTTATTTATTCATTTTTTTCTTAAATATTTTTTACTTTATTTTTAGGGGCTTCGGGGGAATATTACAGGAGGTGATGTAGATCTCTCCCATTCATTCATAATTGAGGATACAGTAACCATACTATGTCCTCAATTATGTACACACACACTCAGCGATCACTGAGTGTGTACCTTGCTCTTCTCTCTGACATGATCACAGGAGGCTGAGCGAGCGGTGTAGGGAGGAGAGCCCAGCCTTCTGTGACACCGCTGGCTGTCTCTGCCCCCACACCGCTCTGCTGGACTGTGATAGGTGGCCGAGCGGTGTGGGAGGAGAGACGGCGGCCACTCACAGCGCTCTCCTCTCGCAGCGCTCGGCCGCCTGTGACACTTTCTCTCATCCCCGCTGGGCGCTGCTCTGTGTCCCAGCAGGGAGGAAAGAAACCACGGATGCGCGCTGTATCGGCACAAAAATGGCACCTTCGGCATCTAGCCAAAAGTGCCATTTTCGTCCGATATGTTTCGGCGGCCGATATATCGGTGCATCCCTAGTTTTCTTCCTTCCTAATAAAAGCCGATCTGCTAGCAATGTTTTTTTTAAAGACTTTCAGGGTTATTCACAAAAGGGTGAAGAGTTTGGAGAAGGCGGGAGAAGGGAACAATCTAGGCAAAAATTGCTGATTTGGAAAAACTCTCCAATTCAGCTCACTTCCCAGTTCAGCTATGTTGTCCTAGATTGTTCACTTCTCCGGCCTTCCCCAAACTCTTCACCCTTTAGTGAATAACCCTGTTTGGTTCTGCATCAAATTGTATTACTATGCAGTCTGAGATAGCAGAAATCCATGTAGAAGAAAGATGGCGTCATGGCTGCTAAAAGTTTTCTTTGTACTGCAGGAAGTTTTTGAAAACATTTTCGGGAGTTTGTATTGGCCATGGAGAAGGGAAGTTTGTGTTCATAATGAAATTAATCTTTAAAGGGTTATTAAACCCTCCGTTTTCTTTGCACACATCTACTGCTAGCAAGCAGTAGATATATGCAAAAACTTTAAAAGCGGTTAAACTTACCTGTGTCTTCCCCGCGCGCTCTCGTACGAAAATCTGAAAAATCTTGGGCGGCCGCAAAGCATCTTGGGGCGGGAGCATGCGCAGTTCAGATTTTCGGCCGGGAGACGAGGAGAGACACAAGGTAAGTCTATGGACAGCGTGCGCCCGCATACAGACACCGTGGGACAGGAAGTGCCAACTAGCTCAGAGGAGTCAGCGCTAGAGGGACAGCTGAAAACGACAGGAAAGAAGATCGGATTAAGAAACATAATTTAAGGTAAGTGCTTACACTAACATTGGGGGGGGGGGGGGGGGATAAAATGAA